GGGCTTCCACTTGGAATGGGAGGACACCCATGGGCAATAGAGGAGAGAAAGCACTCCCAGGAATGGTGTAAGGGTGCCCCTTTGCCAGCCCTGCATACTCAGAACCCCTTCCTCTGCCTTGGGGTGTGCTCAGCCCTCATCATCCTAGCTACACCTACGCACCCGTCCACCAATAGGAAGTCTCGCATCAGGGCCCGCACGTGCTCACGCCGGTTCTGGGTGCTGGTACCCGGCGTGGATGGAGCCCTGGGGGCGCCGGTTGTGGTGTGGGCACGGGTTACTGGCTGATGCAGCAGCAGCACAAACAGCAGACGCAGCAGAGGCCGCCAGCCATGCGCATGGGGACCCTTGAGGCCCGCAGGCTGCATGTTGCGCACGGGCCGGTCGCAGGAGCCTGGGAAGAGCTGGTGAAGGGCAGAGGGCGACGATGGAGGTTCGTAGATGTAGGAGATTGCGGTCACTAATACGGCCTCGCTAGGGTATTGCAGTCACGCGACTCGGCGACAGACGCTCTGGCATCCACGAGGCCGCGCGAGGCAGCCACCAGGGGGCAACACAGCCCCTGAGTCATGGGAGGGCGCTCCCACAGGCTGGAATGGCCCCTGCCTGCGGCGTGCGAGACGTTTGTGGACTCCCTCTGCTTCTAAACCCCGTCCTGGTCCTGCCCCCTTACTCCCTGGGGCGGGCTCTGTAGACCCACAGACGGCGAGGGCACCCATGGAGGGCCCAGAAATCTCCCGGATCTCACCTTCAGGCTAGGCTCTCCCGCCCTCAAACAGGTCAAATATTCCATGAAATTCTAAACTCTGACTCAGAATAATTAGATCTGTATTTTTTGTTGTTGTTTTTTTGTTTTTGCAGGGTTTTTTTGTTTGTTTGTTTTTGCAGGGCTTGAACCCATACGCCGCCCCCGTATATGGGGCCAGCGCCCTACTTCTTGAGCTGCAGGCGCCGCCCTAGATCTGTATATGTATATCTTATTTTAAGAGGCAGAATCTCACTTTGTCACCCTCGGTAGAGTGCAATGGCGTCACAGCTCACAGCAACCTGCAGCTCTTGGGCTTAGGTGGTTCTCTTGCCTCAGACTCCTGAGTAGCTGGGACTACAGGCACCCGCCACAACGCCCAGCTACTTTTTTGTTGCAGTTTGTGCAGGGCCAGGTTTGAACCCATCACCCTCGGTATATGGGGCCAATGCCCTACTCACTGAGCCACAGACGCCGCCCAATCTGTATGTTTTGATTGGCAGAAAAATATTCCCCCTTATTAAAATGAAATTTAAGAACAGTATCTATGGGAGACCATTATCTTAGCATTTAATATTAAATTTTGCCTCTGTACATATGTTAACACACACACACACCCTAGAGTATACACACCAAATGTTAGTTAATAGTGGCCATCTTGTGAAAAGAGCTACCTACTCCTTGGTAGAGAACTCCTGGGCTTAGATGATTCTCTTGCCTCAGCCTCCAGAGTAGCTGGACTACAGGTGCCTGCCACAACGCCCAGTTATTTTCTTGTTGCAGTTTGGCCAGGGTTGGGTTTAAACCCGCCATCCTCAGTATATGGGGCCAGTGCCCTACCCACTGAGCCACAGGCACTGCCCTCTGGTCATTTTCTATCTCGTTTGTTTCCTATTATACTGATACTGGCCTAGAGAAATCATGGGTGGTGCTTGTGAAGGCAGACTAGAATCCTGGGGGTTGGCAGAGGCACCAGAGCAGGTGCTGAACCTTGAGAGGTGGAGTTTATATCAGGCAGAGGAGCCCAGGCAGAGGTATAGTTTGGACAGTACACAGTTGTAGAGAGGCAGGGGAGGATCCTCCTGCATGGACTGGTGGACAACATCAAGTTAGGGCCTTGGTGCTGAGACTGTAACTTCACCATAACTTGATGCTGAGACTGAAATCCTTTTCTGACACAAGGTAGTTTCCAGGTGGGCCAGAGGTTGGTTAGTATAATTTAGCTGCAGAAGCCCTGGTACAAGGGAACGGATCTTAAAACTGCTTCTGGGTAGCATTCAAGCCTCCTGGGTCTGGATCAGGTCCTGCTGATAGGCCAGCACCACAGACTGAATCTAAATGGCCAGTTCTGCCTCAGCGCCTATAGCTCAGTGGCTAGGGTGCCAGCCACATACACCACGGCTAGCAGGTTCAAACCCAGCCTGGGCCTGCCAAACAACAATGGCAACTACAACAACAAAAAAATAGCCAGGTGTTGTGCTGGGTGCCTGTAGTCCCAGCTACTTGGGAGGCTGAGGCAAGAGAATCTCTTAAGCCTGAAAGTTTGAGGTTGCAGCTTGGCGCCTGTGGCTTAAGCAGCTAAGGCGCCAGCCACATACACCTAAGGTGGAGGGTTCGAATCCAGCCCGGGCTCACCAAACAACAATGATGGCTGCAACCAAAAAATAGCCGGGCGTTGTGGTGGGCACCTGTGGTCCCAGCTACTTGGGAGGCGGAGGCAGGAGACTTGCTTGAGCCCAGGAGTTGGAGGTTGCTGTGAGCTGTGATGCCACAGCACTCTACCCAGGGGGATAGCTTGAGGCTCAGTCTCAAAAAGAAAAAAAAAAGTTTGAGGTTGCTATGAGCTGTGACACCGTGGTACTCTACCACGGGGGACAAAGTGAGACTCTATTTCAAAAAAAAAAAAAAGGCAGTTCTGCATCTGTGTCGTTCTCCTGTTCTACCACCTGCACTCCCTGTTACGTGGGCCTTCCCTTTGGCACACCTTCATAAAGAGGCTTGGTGTCTGGTGACCATTGTACTCTTTCATTGCTGCTCCCTTCTCATGCCTGGGGCTTAATGACCAAGTCTGGCCCAGCTACCTCTAGCTTTGGTCCTCTCAGAAAGGGCAGAGAAAGATAATGTTGTCTGTTGTGGTCTCTCATAAACCTCAGAAGACTTGCCCTGGAGGTCTTAATTTAAGTGACTTTGAACAACATAATGAATGACAGCTTTGCCAATAGTTTAGCAAAAGCACAAAAAGCACTGCACATATAGCTATTTCCTACTCATATGTTAGACTTAGGTGAAAGAATAGGGCATAATGTTTACAATTACTGTTATTTATTTATTCATGTGAGACAGACTCACTCTCTCATCCTGGATAGAGTGCCATGTCATCATACCTCGTAGCAACCTCAAACTCCCAGTTTCAAACAATCATCTTGCCTCAGCCTCCTAAGTCAGCTGGGACTACAGGTGCCTGCCACAATGCCTGGCTACTTTTTGCTTTTTGTAGAAACAAGAATAGTTTTTCTATTTTAAGTAGAGACAGGGTCTCACTCTTACTCAGGCTAGTCTCAAACTTCTGAGTCCAGGCTATCAACCCTCCTTGGCCTCCCAAAGTGATAATAGAATTATAGGTATGGCTGGACAAGGTGGCTCACACCTGTCATCCTAGCCCTCTGGGAGGCTGAGGCAGATAGATGGATTGTTTAAACTCAGGAGTTCGAGGCCAGCCTGTGCAAGAGTGAGATTCTGTCTCTACTAAAAATAGAAAAACCTCGCCGAGTATGGTGGCATATGCCTGTAGTCCCAGGTACTCACTGGAGCCTGAGGCAAGAGGATTGCTTTAGCCCAGGAATTTGAGGTTGCTGCGATCTATGATACCACAACACTCTAGTTTGTCTCAAAGAATAAAAAAAAAAAAAGCCAAGATAGGCAATCTTTTGGCACCTACCAGTTTGACTTTGAAATACACAATTTAGGTTTATTACGAATAATGGTGATATGGCTCTGCGCCTGTGGCTCAAGCGGCTAAGGCGCCAGCCACATACACCTAAGGTGGCGGGTTCGAATCCCCAGCCCGGGCCTGCCAAACAACAATGATGGCTGCAACCAAAAAATCGCCAGGCGTTGTGGCGGGCGCCTGTAGTCCCAGCTACTTGGGAGGCTGAGGCAGGAGACTCGCTTGAGCCCAGGAGTTGGAGGTTGCTGTGATTGTGATGCCATGGCACTCTACCCAGGGGGATAGCTTGAGGCTCCGTCTCAAAAAAAACAAACGAATAATGGTGATATAAATATGATTTTATATGCCTTCTGGGGAAACATAATGTATGCATACCTATTGGATATATGTTGAGTGAAGTTGCTGAGTCATGGGGTATGCATAAAGTATTAATATTAACTATTATTTTTATTAGGCATTATTGTCATGTTATTATCTGTCATTATTAGTAGTAGCTCTTTTTTTTTTTTCTTAGAGACAGTCTCACTTTGTCGCTCTCTGCTCTTAGTAGAGTGCCGGGACGTCACAGCTCACAGCAACCTCCAGTTCTTGGGCTTAGGCAATTCTCTTGCCTCAGCCTCCTGAGTAACTGAGACTACAGGCGCCCACCACAACACCTGGCTATTTTTTTTGTTGCAGTTTGCCAGGACCAGGTTAGAACCCACCACCCCTCAGTATATGGGGCTGGCACCCTACTCACTGAGCCACAGGTGCTGCCCAGTAGTAGTTCTTAATATTAGCTATTATTATTTCAGTTGCAATTAGTTACCATTCATGGCCTGCAGTTAAGATAAGTGGATGCCTAAGTAGCTTTGCCTCTTAGAGAAGTCCCTGAGGGATGGGGGTGGGATCCCTATATACAGGGCAGTCCAGCCTTTGGAGACCTTTGGCCCATTAATGTGGCCTGGCATACTAGGCTCTTTGTAAAGAGGAATGAAGGTCATTTGTGATCTAGGCAGCTCCCCTTCTTGAGGATCTGAACCAGAATTTCCAGAAAGAACCCAGAGGTGTTGGTCAGTGGGTTGGCGTGTGGCTCGTGATGAGCTAACTCAAAGGGAACACAGAGCCAGGTCCACCTTCCTTCAGCCTGATCCACCCCCTGCCTTTGTCCAACGCTGAGTCCAGCTACCTGCAACACCTCTGGACACTGCCAGAGGCCTTCCTTGAGCAACTGGTGGCTGAAATGCAGTGTCCCCCACCAATCACCAGCATTGGAAGCCCATGTCATCAGACCTCACAGCAGAGGAGGACATTCACTTCTGGTTCCACGTCCAAAACCTTTATTTTCAAAAAATGTTTGTGCCTGCACAACAGGAGAATGTTGTGGGGTGTCTGCAGTTGCCATAGTGAAACTGGCAGGACTGAATAGGTCACCAGAGCCATACGATAAGGACTGGGAAGGTGACAACAACTATAAGGCCTGGGGCCACAACAGGGGAAGACTTTGAGAATGACCACTTGGATAACTTGGGTGTCTGATGTGTTGGAATCTTGGTTAATTTCTGGTCTGAAACCAGTGATTGTCTCTGATGCTGACGTGGGATGACGGAGTGGCAAGAACTGTCCAGCTGCTCATCTGGAAATGTGTCCTCCAAGGGGCTCTGCCACTTGTTTTCCTCCCGTACCTAGAAGTAGAAATTAGAGCTCAGCAACATCCATAGCTGTCCCCTCCACACATAACTTGCTCAGACCCCTGGGCAACTCTCTTGCCCACCCCAGCGTACCTGTTCCACTTGTCCAAAGACCCGGAGCAGGTTTCCACGAAGGACGCCCTGAAGCTCTTCCTCACTCCAGCCACGACTCAGCAACTCTTCTATCAGTACTGGGTATGTGGACACATCCTCCAGCCCCTGAGGGAACCTGTGTGGCCACCAGCCAGCCAAACAGCAGCTCTCAGACTTGGTTCCCTGATCCTGACTCAGTACCAGAGTCCAGAGTCCATGAAACCCCAGCCCTGGTCCGACAGGGGAAATGGAGATTTGGACAGAGTAGGTATTTGTCCTTGCTGTTCATCCTTGAAGGTGGCCTCAAACCTCTTTGAATATGTCAAAATTCATTGAATTATACTATTAAGATCTATGCTTTTCACTGAATGCAATGAATTCCCCCACTTAAAAAATGAAGAAGAAAACTTTGTTTGGAACTGGGCTGACCCTGTAAGCATAGTCCTAGCCATGGGCAGAGAAGATGGCCAGCAGCCAACAGTCTTCTCAGAGCAAGTGGACTCCTGGGGCTGAGGGTGGGGGCGTATGTTGGGCAGATGAGCTCTGTCTGGTGGCTTAGCCAAATATTATGTTCTAGAGTAGGGCCTCTGGGATGAAGAGGGACAGGAGAGCCCAGGAAACTGACCCTAGCAGTGGGGAGATGCCAGGGGTCAAGGCCTAATGGCCAAAAACACCATAGCATGGTGGGCATGGTGACTATGAGGGCCACACCACTATATAGCCAGCCCCAAGATAAGCCACAAGGAAGCACTCACTGGCCAGCCCCATCATAATCTCCACCAATCCCGATGAACCTGGAACCGATGACTGCCTTGATGTGGTCGAAGTGATCTGGAGGGATGGAGAGTTAGCTGTGTGAGGCTTCCAGGGCAGGGGTGTCACTGGGCCTGGACCCTACTGAGTCCCCTTCTTGCAGCCTGTAGGCCATGCAGGCAAATTCCTTCATGGCCTGGCACCCCGTGTGGCAACTTAAGGTGCCTGAAATTTGACCTGAACTGATTCTAGATGGCTCTAGAATGAACTTCAGTTTTAAAGTGGATCTCCAGGGGCAGCGCCTATGGCTCAGTGAGTAGGGCACTGGCTTCATAGGTGTTGTGGCAAGTGCCTGTAGTCCCAGCTACTTGGGAGACTGAGGCAAGAGAATTGTCTAAGTCCAAGAGCTGGAGGTTGCTATTAGCTGTAACGCCACGGCACTCTAGCAAGGGTGATAAAGTGAGACTTCGTCCCTAAAGAACAAACAAACAAAAAAACCCAAAAAAACCCCCAATAAAGTGGATCTCCAAGGCAACCCATTTGGGCCACTTCCCTGCCTCTAGTCTCCTTGAGAGACTGGGGCGGGGGTCTCCTTTCCAGTTGTGTAGAAGATGAGAGATAAAAAATACAACTAACAAAGACCCCAGAGATTTAAGGGGCTGCCCAGGCCCTTGGCCAGAGGCAGGGGAAAGGTGCTTTGGTAGCCCCTGCAGCAATGCAGATGGTTGGCACCTGAGCGTTCTATCTGATTACCAGGCTTGTTTGCAGCCATCAGTATCGCAGTGTTGACTCTGTTGCTCTAGGTCCATGTGGTACCAAGGTGCTATATACTATCTATCCATCAGTGGACTTTGGGTCACACCATTGGGATTGTCCTGAGGTCCTCCTGAGGCTTCAGGTCCAAATCATAACCGTTCAGAGAGCTGGCGGGTGGGGTGGGCTTACCTGCCACAGTGGACACATTGGCTAACTGGTTGCACTGCAGCACTCCCATAGACAAAGATACCATCACGATGCCACCATTCTTTTTCTGCAGGGATGGTCAAATGGACACTTAGCTCCCCTCCCCCCCAGCAAACCACATGCCTGCTAAGCCTCTGAGCCTCCAAATGAAGGTGTTCAGCCTTGGCCTCTGGGGTGGGAGGAGAATTCACCTCTCTGGGTTTGTGTGAATGGAAGAATTTAGGCCCCGCTTTGTGTAGAAAAGTCTTGGCACTGGCTTTGAAGGGTAGAAAAATACTTATCATCTAGAACCTCCCAATCCTGGATTCAAGAATTCAGAGGCTGGGGACTGGGGAATTATGGGGAAGAAGATGTTCAGCCTGGGGTTTGAGGGAGTAGGGGTTCAGGTTCAAGAGCTCCTGGTTTGAACCTCTTGCTTTAGGCTCTAGGGCCGGGGAGTTTCTCACCAGAAGCTGTAGGATGTCATCAGGAACATTTCGAGCATTGTTGCACACACCCCGGGCTGCCGAGTGGGAGAAGATCACTGGTGCCTGTGACACTTCCAGGACCCGCTGTGCCACAGCGTCCGAGGCATGGGACAAGTCTACCATCATGCCCAGGTGGTTCATTTCTTCAACCACCTTCTGCAGGGACAGGTTGGGAGGAATGCATTAGGGATGCACATGTGTCCATGTTTGTAGGAAATGTGTGTACATTTGTTTATAGTACAATATGAACCAGGAGTCTCACCTCTCCAAAGCTGGTCAGTCCACTGACATTATTGTAGAAAGGGTGAATACCCTTAGCTGAGCTCTCTGCCCTGCAGAATGGCCAGAAAGTAGTCTGACTGGTGGCCATGCCTTGGCCACAAAATCCTAGCGTTTCTACCCATCCTCCATCCCTGCAACCCTCTGGGGCAAAAGCATACACCCACAGTGGGCTGTATCTAGGAACAGAAGGGCCCTGCTGGTATCCAGTGTTGTTCTATGAACCCCAGAATCCTAGCTCCCCTCCCTACTCCAGGGTCAGTGTCAGATCCCAGGGCGAAAGGTTGGTCTGGGCCAACTGTATGACCTTGGGGAGAGCCCTGCCCAGTAGGTCCACATCAGCACTGTGCTCACCAGGGTGTGTTGCAGGTGTGAGTGAGTGTTAGGTAGCGCACTCCCAGCACATAGAAGGTACGCAAGACGGAGAGGCTGTTGTCCAGCGAGTGGCCACCTTCCACACCAATGAGGCAGGCCAGTTTCTGGGTATTGTTCAGAGCTGGAGGCAAGTAGGTCAGGTGATGACTTTCAAGGGCTGGATTAATTCAGTCAAGTCCCTAACACTCACCACCAACCCACCTACCTTTAACTGAGGTCACCAGCTCCAGCTCAGGATAGGAGGTACACATACGGCGAATGAGGTCAACCTGCTCCAGGGTGAGGCGTACAGCATCCCTGTCCTGAGTCTGGCATGGGACATAGGCCGACCAGAACTGGGGAGAAAGCCGGGGATTAGTTGGCATGGGAAGGGGCTACTTTGGGGCTCCCTGGGCTTCCCCTTTATTTATTTATTTTTTGGCTGGGGCTGGGTTTGAACCCGCCACCTCCACCAAATGGAGCTGGCACCCTACCCTTTTGAGCCACAGGCACTGCCCCCTCCCTGGGCTTCTCATGGGCTCCACAGCACCCAGTGGTTCTGGAGGCCACATGGCATGCATGGCTAGGTGTCGGAGACTTTCATGCCCACCAAGCAGGCTCACTGCAGGCCCTGCAGCATCTGGTATCTACATCGTGGCACTTTGGGGATCACCATGGTAACTGAGTTCCCATGTGATTAATTTGTATCTCTGAGGCCCGGTGTGGTGGTTATAATCCTATAATCCCAACTCTCTGGGAGGCTGAGGCAGGTGGATTGCCTGAGCTCACAGGTTTGAGACCAGCCTGAGCAAGACTGAGAGCCTGTCTCTAAAAAACAGCCAACTGTTGGGTGGTGCCTGTGGCTCACTGGGTAGGGTGCCAGCCCTATATACCAAGGGTGGGGGGTTCAAACCCAGCCCCGGCCAAACTGCAACAAAAAATAGCTGGGCACTGTTGCGGGCACCTGTAGTTCCAGTTACTCTGGAGCCCGAAGCAAGAGAATTGCCTAAACCCAAGAGTTGGAGGTTGCTGTGATCTATGACGCCACAGCACTCTACCGAGGGCGATAGTGAGACTCTGTCTCTAAAAAAAAAAAA